ACTCGAAATGGGTCAAATACCTTAATGTAAGAGCTCAAATTTAGAAAAGACATGGGATGAATTTTTGTGACCTTGGATTTGGCAAAAACTTGTAAGATAATTATATTTAAAAAGCACAAGCGCCGAAACCGGTTTGGCTCAGTGGATAGAGCGTCGGCCTGCGGACTGAAAGGTCCCAGGTTCGATTCCGGTCAAGGGCATGTACCTGGGTTGCGGGCACATCCCCAGTGGGAGATGTGCAGGAGGCAGCTGGTCGATGTTTCTCTCTCATCGATGTTTCTAACTCTCTATCTCTCTCCCTTCCTCTCTGTAAAAAATCAATAAAATATATTAAAAATAAAAAAATAAAAAATAAAAATAAAAAGCACAAGCAACAAAAGAAAAAAAATAGATAATTTGGATGTCATCAAAATTAAAAACATTTGCCCTAACCGGTTTGGCTCAGTGGATAGAGCGTCGGCCTGCGGACTGACTCAAGGGTCCCAGGTTCGATTCCGGTCAAGGGCATATACCTTGGTTGCGGGCATATCCCCAGTTAGGGGGTGTGCAGGAGGCAGCTGATCGATGTTTCTCTCTCATCGATGTTTCTAACTCTTTATCCTCTCCCTTCCTCTCTGTAAAAAACAATAAAATATATTTTTAAAAAAATTAAAAACATTTGTGCTTCAGAGGACATTATCAAAAAAGATAAAATATTTGCAAATCATATATTTAGTAAGGAATTTGAATCTAGAATAGATGAAGAACAACTTAATAATAAAAAGAAATAATATAAGTAAAAGATAGGCAAAAATTATGGATAGACATTTCTCTGAAGAAGACATGCAAATTTCCAATGAGCACATCAAAGGTGCTCAACATCATTAGTTATCAGGGAGATGAAAAATCAAATCCACAGTGCGATACTACTTTTCATGAGTGGGGATGGATATGATTAAAAAACAGATAAGTATTGGGAAGGATGTGGAGAAATTGAAACCTCATACATTGCTGGTGTGAGTGTAAAATGATTGTACTTACTACGGAAAACAGCCTAGCAGTTTCTTAAAAAGTCAAACACAAAGTTACAATTCAAGCAATTCTACTCCTAGCTATACATGCAAGAGAAATGAAACTTTATGTCCCCACAAAAATTTGTACATGAATATTCATAGCAGCATTATTCATAATAGCCAAAAGGTGGAAACAACCCCAATGCCCATCGAATGATGAATGGATTTTTAAAAATGTCATATATCCATACAGTGGAACATTATCTTATCTAATAAAAGAGTAATATTCAAATTGACCATCACTCCAACTCATAAGATGGCCGCCCCCAAGTGGTCACAAGATGGTCGGCAGGGGAGGGCAGTTAGGGGCGACCAGGCTGGCAGGGGAGGGCAGTTGGGGGAGACCAGGCTGGCAGGGGAGGGCAGTTAGGGGCATTAGGCAGGCAGGCAGGTGAGTGGTTAGGAGCCAGTGGTCCTGGATTGCGAGAGGAATGTCCGACTGCCAGTTTAAGCCCGATCCCACAGGGGTCCCGGATTGGAGAGGGTGCAGGCCAGGCTGAAGGACAACCCCCTCGTGCACGAATTTCATGCGCTGGGCCTCTAGTTAAACATAAAAAGAAATGAAGCTAATACACATTACAATATGGATGAGCTTTGAAAACATGCTGAGTGACGGTAATTAGTTAGGAAAGACTACATATTGCATGATTCCATTTATATAAAATGTCTGGAATAGGCAAATCCACAGAGACTAAAGTAGATTAGTGGTTGCCTAGGACTGAGGAAATAATAGGGGAATTGATAGCTAAAGGGTACAAGCTTTCTTTCTGGAGTGGGGGAGTGGATTAAAATGTTCTAAAATTAACTGTGGTGGTGGATGGTTGCAGAACTCTGTGAATATACTAAAAACCATGTAATTGTGCATTTTATTTTCAGTTTTTAAAATTTTCATTTGCATGGAATGTGCACTTCAGATGGGTGAATTATATGGGAAGTGAATAATATCTTAATTTAAAAAAATAGTTGAGGGGGAAAAAGAACCATAACTCTAAAACAGTGGTTCTCATACTTTAGTCAGCATTAACCCCACCTGTAATGTGTGATAAAAATGCAGATAAAAATGTTCTAGGCCCATCAAGGCATTAAAGGACATGAGGAACCTTTCCTGCATATTGCTAAGTGAAAGAAACCAGTCTGAAAAGGCTACATCCTGTGGGATTCTAACTATGTGATCTAGAAATGGCAAAACTATAAAGACAGTAAAAAGATCAGTGGTTGTGAGGTGTTCAAGGAGCGGGGGGAGTGAAGGAGAGTGATGAATAGGTGGAGAACACGGGATTTTTAGGGCAGTGAAACTATTCTGTACGCTTCTGTAGTGGTGGATACGTGTCATTACACATTTGTCAAAACCTACAAAATGTACAACACAAAGAGTGAGCCTAACATAAACGATGGACTTTAGTTAATAATAATATTCCAATGTTTGTCTATCAGTCACCACCAATGTACCACACTAATACGAGATGTAATAATAGAGAAAACTGTGCAAATAGAAGCAGGAGAGGGGTGGGGAATTTATACTTTCTGCTCAATTTTTTTTAAACCTACTATTCTAAACTGTTCTAAAAAATAAAGTCTATTAATTAACAACAACAAAAAGTTGTAGGCAAGCCAGGGGATGAGCCTGTGAAGTCGGGGAACTATACAGATAGGAATTGACGTTGTCAGATCAGGGGGACATTGTCATCCTGAAAACCAGTAGGTACTGTTCACTCTAGAATGCAAGAGGCAGGTGTGGAGAAAGAGAATGTCTCCTCATTCAGCTCCATATCGAGGCTGCTGAGCCCAGAATCGGCACCTCAGAGAGGTGATTCTGTACCAAAAGGCCATTCTGGGAGCTGTCACTGGAGGGGAGGGCTCCTGGAGCCCCCTCCGTCTCAGTATGCAAGTGTCACTTCAGCAACATAACAGGACATTAAGGTCAGAGGACGAGGCTCTTCTAGGAGGCAGAGTGACTTGAAATGGGATCCTGAGTTTGCTGGCTTGGGTGGGTGTCGGTTTGGTTTTAGGAACCTTAGATGGGGCACAGGCGTTGGGTGTCCGGCGAGGGGATTATAAGGTAGTGAATTGAGAGCATGGAAGTGTCACTTGATTTGAGAGAAATATGCACATCAGAGGGATGGAAAAGATCGTTACTCCCGATTTCTCATGGAGAGACCGAAACAAAAACAACTGGGAAAACATTCTTCACCTTGGAGTGTCCAGCCCAGCCCTTTGCTGGGGCGTGGGCGTTCCATCTGTGAGAACAGTGATGAGTGGAAAGAGCCTCCCAGGCCACAGAGGCCCATCCGACTCCAGGATCGTTTAGGGAAAAGATAGATCTCTGGTGTGTTTTTCCTAGAGACACACCAAGTAGGAGTCACAAAGGATCGGAGAGATCCCGCACACTGGCAGGTACAAGTTGCTAATTTGTCTTCAGAATCGCATATGACTTTTCCCTTTCACACCGCATCTAATAATAACAAGAGTGATAGCAAAGGATGTTTTACTTGGTGCCAAACACTAAGTACCTTCACGAATTAACTCGTTTAATCGCCACTACAACTTCAACCGGCAGTCGGGGGATTATTACCCCATTTTCCAGACTGAGTGGAGACATGAAGTAATTTGCGGGGTCACAGCTGGAAAGGGGGGAGCTGGACTCCAACCCCGGCACCGGCTCCAGAGCCCCCTCTCCACTCTCCAGGGCACTGCCCCTCCGCCTGGCCTCACTGGCCTCCAGGCTGCCTCTAATTTAGACCAACTTTTACAAGAGGGAATGCGTATTTTAACCCTTTATGTTTGCACCCTGCTTCATCCACCCCCACAGAAAACAGCGGTACTGTTTATTCTCTCCAAATAGGAAAAAACGGGGCGAAGGGGATGTTGGCGGGATGGGGATAGGGTGGGGGGAACAAAAGAAAAAGATAAACAAAAAGAAAACCTCTTTTTCTTTCCCTTCTCAGTGCATAGCATCTTAAGAATTTCCCACTTTTTCCAGAGGGAACGGCGATCTGGTCGGAAAGTCTGTGGACCGGTCCAGCCGTCCCTGATGTGGGAGCCCCTGGCTCCCCAGGGGTCCAGGCGGGGTGCTATGGTCTCCTGCTGAGCGCTGCAGCCACTGGCCCACCCCTTCCGTGTGGGCTGGCTGTCTCCTGCCCTGGCTCCCCTTTGGGGCTCCATCTGGCGAGTTGGGGAGACTTTGGGCAGAGGGCCCCGCACTGTTCCTTTAAGGAAAACCGCTCTTCCCTTCTTGATTAAATGAGAAAATGAGTTCCAGATCCCCAGTCCGAGTCAAGCTGTTTAAGAGGGTGAGGGTGAAATAGAAAATGTCTTAAGAAGGGCACCGCTGTTCTTTGCTTACTATAACAGGAGACAAGCGAACACGCCACGGGGAGTGAATAGCCATGAGGTTTTAGAGATGTACTTTTAAAATAACGCTTCTGAAAACCAAGTTTAGTAAATGGGGCCCAGTGCACAGAAGGGCTTTAACACTTGGTTTAGTGCTCTGCTGTTGTCTTCTTGAAGCACTTACTAATTTTGAGCAAAGGGCTCCACGTTTCGTTTTATGGCCAGTCTTGTCTGTGATGTATATTTTAAATCAGTTATATGTAATTGTGGGCATTTTCCCTCAGTTTCAGGTAGGCCGGTGTATCCTGTCCAAGTTTGCAAGTCAACTTTTGTGTTGCTTTCTTTCTCTTTATATGCCTAGGAGGGGTGTAAGCTCTTGTATACTCACTGATCTTTGCTGGGATGTGCCAGGGTGAAAATGTGATGCTGGAAAGCACTGAACAAGAAGGCCAAGCCTGAGTATTTATAAATTAAAACATTTCAAAGCACACATCCCCCTTTGGCTGGGTAGGCCGGGCATTTAGTACAGAATCTTCTCCTAAAATGGAGAAATAATCATGGGGGAGAGTTGGGCTCTTGTCTTACACGGGGCCTCCGGTGAGGACATGACCCTGTCATTGTTAACTGAAACACAGGCTGGGACTGACTCAGGAACTTGGTCTACGCTATTAAGTTAACCCAGCGACCACAGCCCCAGCACTGGGCTTCCCGTCCCATCTGCCAAGAGACCCGGCAGGAGGGATGAGGGGCGTCCAAGGATGCCTGCATGATATGGGGGGCTAGGCTTATGCTGGCAAGCTTAAGTTCATCAGGTTTAAAAAATGCTGGAATCATTTGTTGGTCCTCTTAGCAAAGTTGCTGTTGCTCTGGCCAGTGTCATTGAGGTGAACCAAGGAGAAATCCATGGCCTTCCTCTTTTTTTTTTTTTCAGGCCATAATATGGGAATCAGTACCATGAGGATATTCTACTGCAGGAACACACTGTGCTGTTTGTTATAAAGCAGATGGTGGGACTTTACCAGAAAGCAGGGGTGTCCCATCAGGGACTCAGCCAAGGCATCCCAGTTCACAGCAGAAAACTGGGAGAGTCCTAGTGTAGGCAGTGGGGCCAGGACTGGTGTGGTGGCCAGACGTCCTGAAGGACTGGGAGGAAGTCCCGTCTGTGGGGCAGGCGACAGCAGCAAGCACTTGGGTCCAGACTAGGTGGGACTGCCACCGTCAGTCTACGATGCCAAGATGCTGGCTTCTGGGGAAGTGAGGGAGCTGTTAAGAGCAAGACAAGACATGGAGTGTACTAAGCTGGCTGTCAAGACAGGGAATCAGGCACAGAAATCCAAGGCAGAAGCCCAACTTAGCATGACTTAGATGGAGCCCCAGTGGTAGCAGAGATGGCTTGGGTCAGGCTCCTGAAATCTTTCAAATCTCAGGCCAGAATTAATTCTAGGGATTGAGACAAAGATAAAACTTTAAGTGAAGAGGAAGAAGGAACACAGTCACTGGGAACTGGGTAGGCCTGCCTGGGGGAGTCACTTTTCACATGCATTGTGTTGGATTTTCTTTATTTTCTTCAGCGGTTCTAGCAGATAGAAGCATTATTTGTGTTCTTGTTTTATTTTATTTATTAAATATATTTTTATGGATTTCATAGAGGTAGTGAGAGATAGAAATATCAGTGATGAGAGAGAATCATTGATCAGCCGCCTCCTGCACGCCCCACACTGGGGATGATTGAGCCTGCAACCCAGGCATGTGCTCTGACCGGGAATTGAACCCTGACCTCCTGGTTCATAAGTCGATGCTCAACCACTGAGCCATGTCAGCCGGGCTGTGTTCTCATTTTATACTGGAGGAATCAGAAGTAAATGGAAGTGCCCATGGTTAATAGATTCATCCCATCTGGGTGTTTGGGGCCCTTTCGAACACCATCATCTCTGTGCCCTTGGCTTAGACTGGATAACTTTATGGAGTTCCTTTGGTTGTGGTTGTAGCAAAGTGGTGGAAAGCATGGTCTCTGGAGCCAGACTGCCTGGCTTTTTATCCCAGCCCCATCCACCTCTTCTGGTTGTGTGGTGGTGGGTGGGTTACTTCCTACAGTGTAGTCATGAGGATTTCATGGGCTGGGATGTAAAGGGTTTAGAACAGTGCCTGGCATATAGTGCTCAATAAGCATTAATATTACGTTGCATGTAGAAATAGAATTATTTAGGGAAGATTTCAGATGTTAACAGTCATCACTATCTAGGGGGTGGACAGGTCCATGGCAGGGTTAATCCTAAAAAGTAAACACTGCAAAAATCATTCCTCTTTATTTTGTAAAAGCAAGATTTTTCTCATGAATTTTGATTTATAGTGAATTTTACTGAGAGATTGCCCAATTTATGAGCGGAAATTTGGGGTGTGAGTCCTTGTTGTCCCACTTCCTGGCTTTGTGAGCTCGGGCAATTTTTCCAATAGCTCTCACTTTCCTTATCTGGGAAAATTACCAATAATGGCAATGACAACCCAGCTCAGAATTACCCCAAGAATCACATGAGATGATAGACCATCTATCATAATAAAAGGGTAATATTACTAATTAGACTAGACGTCTTCCGGATGTCATTCTGGACATCCTTCCTGACAAAGCTAGGGCTGGAGGGAAGCCAGCTGGGTCCCGGTACCTGCGGGCAGCCCAAGGGAAGCTAGCCCGGGTCCTGGCTGGGTGCCTGTGGGTGGCCAGAGGAGGGAAGCAGCCTGGGTCCCAGGTGCCAGAGGGAAGCCGGTGCCAGCAGCCAGGGGAAGGAAGACCTACTCTTGGTACGAATTTTCATGCATCAGGCCTCTAGTTTTTAAATAAAAGGATGCCATGTATTGGATATTTTTAATCCCTGGACACAAGCCTACTATAAACCAGAAAAGGTTAGTTGTCTGTAAAGTAGGCAAAAGGAAGTCATTCTGGAATTAAAAATCACCATACAAATAATGCAGCCTAGCTTTGGATATTAAAAATTTAGCAGGTTGCCATGTGGGCCCCAAACACAGACAAGTATACAGTTAGTTGCAACAAGTCTTGGATCTCCCTCCTGTGCCGTTCTCGTAACAGCCAGATTGTGCTTTTATTTCCTCTCTACCCACACAGAGTACGCAACCCCCGTGCCAGTGAATCCTTGCTATGATGGGAGTCACACATGTGGCCCGACAGCTCAGTGCTACCCGGGGACAGGTGTGGACTACACCTGCCAGTGTGCACCTGGGTACCAGGCAGATGGACGGAGTTGCATGGGTAAGAGCCATACTCTGTGTTCTCGCGTGGAGTCATCAGGCACTATGTTTTTAAAAGACAAGTGTCTATCTTCTTAATGATCTCTGTTGACTCATAAGATTAGCAGCTGTTAATCTAAAGACAAGGATTTAAAAACTAAGGTGTGTGCTGGATAGTTTGAGAGGACAGTTTGGAGGTGGGTATTTGGGGACGGGACTGTGAAAAGAAGACCTCTATTGCAATTCCTGGATATTCTGAGTTTTTAAGCTTTGTAATTTTAAACCGGTATTAAATATTTCTTACACTTACTAAGCAGTACATTTTTAAACCGGTATTAAATATTTCTTACACTTACTAAGCAGTACATTTTCTGGTGGTTTTTTTTTTTTTTTTTTCAGATTTCAGACATTGTGTTTCTTTCACCTATTATGTCCCCAAAAGTATCAGTAGAAATCTCTTTACATTTTAAAAGAAAATTTGTTGCAGTGTGGTTTTCTTCGAAATGTTCAGTATTTTTTAAACATTCAAAAACTTTTCAGAATATTTGTTCAAAATACATCTCCCTGTGGCTTATGCTTGAATGACTTGAAGTATTATTTATGATCTGCAACATGCATCCGTATCTGGTGCTTAAAATCCTGCATTTCAACTCCTGTTTAGTCCACCAACTGTGAGTCCCCTTGAAGCCTCATTGTGGTGAGAAAATACTGAGTTTCCAGACCTTTCACCTGTGGGACCCATGATTTGAGCAGCACTTTTCGGTTCTGATTTCTTCCTAGATGTAGATGAATGTGCAACTGGCTTCCATCGCTGTGGCCCCAACTCTGTGTGTATCAACTTGCCGGGAAGCTACAGGTGTGAGTGCCGGAGCGGTTACAGGTTTGCAGAGGACCAGTACACTTGCGTCTGTGAGTCCCAGAGTCATTCCTCTTTTTGGCCAAAATGATGCTGAACCTGGCTCTTTCATTCATTAACATTTCCATTTCTACTGTATGGTTTTTCTAGAAAACATAAAATTTACATTAAAATAACCCAAAGCTATGGCTCAGTTCGGTTCTGGGTTGTTTGTTTTGGTTGCTTTGTTGTTGTTGTTTTTCTCTAAAGAGACATTTTTGGTGTTGAGATATTGAAGGATGTTCACTTCAGTTGGGATTCCCGTGTGTCTGGTATTTGGTCCAATCATGTAACAAGACTATGAACCTCTTCAATAAATAATAACAGCTCCAGGTAGAGGTCAAATATGTCTCAAATTACAATGAAATAGATCTGTAATTCAAAGATGCTTTTCCCACTTGACCAGACAAAGCATTCCATCTATATATATAAAAACCTAAGTTTTTTATATATATTACGACTGGATGACCAGACAACCGGATGACCGGCTGATAGCTATGACTCACACAGACCACCAGGGGGCAGATGCTCAACACAGGAGCTGCCCCCTGTGGTCCCACCCCCCAGTCAGCCAACCTCCGCGGTCCCTCACCTCGGCCGGCCTGCCCCGATTGGCCCCTTGGCCCTGATCGCCGGCCAGGCCAAGGGACCCCACCCATGTGTGAATTCATGCACCAGGCCTCTAGTCTATAATAAAATACCATTTTCTAGGGTTCACCCCCCAAAAAAAGTGGATCCAAAAGAACTAGAATTCCAAATTCATCCCATTGCTAGATGATATTAAAGAAAATACACTTTTAAATCCACTGTTTTGATGATCTTCATGCCTAGTGCTTTAACCACAAACCCAGACCAGCATTTCTCAAATTTTATATGCATACAAACCATCTAGTGCTCTTATTAAAATTCAGATTCCCTGGCTCTGGGATGGGGCCTGAGAACCTGCATTCTTTATTAGCCTTCAGAAGTCCCAATGCTGTTGGTGTGCCGATCGCGCTGTGAAGAGCAAAGCTCACCCATTTGCAGGCCTGAACTCTTGAACATCCTCGCCTTCTTCTCTTTTTTAGTGATTGCCCCACCACCCAACCCCTGTGAGGATGGCAGCCATACCTGTGCTCCCACTGGCCAGGCCCGGTGCGTTCACCTTGGAGGCAGCACCTTCAGCTGCGTCTGCCTGCCTGGTTACACCGGCAACGGGCACCAGTGCACCGGTGAGTACCTGCGGGTCAGCCTCAGTGACAATGGAAGGTCCCCTTGGATACATATCCCCACATAGGGAGGACCTGGTTTAGAAAAGACCCCTCCTTTGACTCATACAGCTTTGGAATTGCCAAAAGAGAAAGAGAAAGGGTGTCCTTTGAGTCAAAAAGAGGGGCCAAGGGTGGATCTCCCTTGGCTTGGATTGGTGGGCATGTATGGTTGTCCGTGTTGGAGACGTGCCTTGAACACCAGGAGCCACTGCCGGCTTGTAACCTTCTGTGCCTTGGAGCCTTGTGTGGGCTGGAGGGACTTCGAGACAGTCATTTAGTCTCCTGTTAGGATGCCGGCTTCTTTCAATCTCTTTGGTTAATGACCTAATTTAGCACTTTCAGTCATGCTTAATTTTTAGTTGCTATTCCCCTGCTTCAAGTAATATTTTAAGCAATATCGGAACATGCATATAATTCTAAGTTTTTCCCTCTCTTCTCTCTGTAGAGATAGATAGGTAGGTAGGTAGGTAGATGAACTCCACAGATATGAGGATATTAACACTTTTATATAAGAGTCCTCAAAACTTTTCTCCCAGAAACCTAACTACCATTAAGACTTATAAAATCAATAAGCCAGAATGCAGGACTAACTGTTCAGATTTAACTTAGAAATAATGTGTGAGGCTGTTTTTGAAACAGTAGGCATAACACTCTGGGTATAAATATTCATGGAACTGGGCTTAGTAGTGGTTTCAGCTAGAGATTGTTCGGTGTGAATCTACATAATCCACCCAGTAGCATGTGATTGAATTGAAATTCAATTTCATGCTGCCTGTCCATCAGTGACACACAAATTATGGGAAGGAGAGGATGGTGGGAAGAGGGTTTGGAATGGGAAAAGGCCTCTCTTGGGAACAGGAACCTGAGAGGCAGGCTTTCCCCCTCTCCTCGAATTGCTGCTTGCATCTGCCACCGCACCCCTGGGCCCACGGAGCGGGGTGCTGAGAACTGCCTTGTAACTCCTGGGAGCTCCACAAAGAGCTAAGTAGCCCGGCCCTCTCCCTCCTCGCCAGAGGTTTGATTCTCATCCTTCTCCCTTTCCTTCCGCTTTGGTTTCAGCAGGACAGGCTGACTGGACCAGCAGACACAACCATATGTTATTAACAGACGATGTGTGTCAAGGCAGCTCAGCCCTCCTCTCCTTTCCAAATGTGGAGGGCAACTTAGTCTCTTCTGAATCTTGCTGCCTAATCAATTAATGTTTCCTCTTCTGTCCAGAAGCTCTGTTTATATGGTTTTCTTGACAACACAATTTACATTGAAATGACTTAAAGCTGGGTCTCAGTTCAAGCCTGATTTCCCCAACCCCCTGCAAAAACAACAAAAACCACCCCCAGATTTAGACAGAGCTCACGTGTTTCTCAAGTGAGAATGAGGTGCATTTATAATTCACAGATGCTTGTCCCACTTGACCAGCCAAAGATCTCTGTCTAGAACAGTTAGGTTCTTTATAGATGGGGTACCCTCTCCAGGCTTGGGGGGTCAGGGTGAGGAGCACAGACTCCTTGTTTATGTCAAGCCCCACAGTGGGAATAATACTTTGTCCACCCTTGTGGAACTTATGACTCAGTTCAATTTAACACACTACTGGTTTGAGAAATGAGAATTCAGAGAGAAAAAAAACCTTGCCAGAATTTCATATTCAAACATCTGGCTGCTCAGGTCAGCTGAGAGGGTGCTTATAAAGTATTTAATTTCTTGGGTCTTTGGTTTAAAGCAAAGCAGTTGAAATTAATTGCAGCCTAGATGTGAGGAATGTTAATCATCAGAATGTTAATTGAGGTTAGATGTGCCTTTGCCCTAATCCCTTCTACAATCATTCTCTCCCCCTTCTTTTAACTTCTAGCCCAGTGCCAGTGGTTCTCAATCTTCTGGCCCTTTAAATATAGTTCCTCATGTTGTGACCCAACCATAAAATTATTTTCGTTGTTACTTCATAACTGTAATGTTGCTACTGTTATGAATCATAATGTAAATATCTGATATGCAGGATGGTCTTAGGCGACCCCTGTGAAAGGGTCGTTCGACTGCCAAAGGGGTCACGACCCACAAGTTGAGAACCGCTGTTCTAGCCTATCCTGTAAGACTTTGCTCACCTCTCTTGTTCTCTGCTTTTAGAATTCTCTCTGGGACCCACAAATTTAAAAACATGCCAGATAGATCAGTTACTTCCCCAGTGTGTTAACTATCTATTGCTGTAGAACAGACCACCCCAAAATGGGGCAGCTTAGAACAATACACATTTATTGCCTATGGTCAGGGTCCTGCCTTGGGTGGGTCCTCTGCTTTAGGACCTTCACAGGGCTGCAGTCAGGGGGTCTGGCAGGCTTGGGGTCTCATCTGAAGGACCAACTGGGGAAAGAGCCTCACATGGTTATTGCAGGATTCAGTTCCTTGAGGGACTGATGGATTGAGAGCCCCAGGTCCTTTCTGGCTCGAGACAATCAGTTTTTTGCCACACAGCCCTCTCCAACAAGGAAGCTGACTTCATCAAAGCCAGGGGCAGAGACGGAAGTTATAATCACAAAATGTCATCCCCTCGATATTGCTTTTGTGTATTAGTTAGAAGCAAGGAAGCAAGTTACTCAAGTGAAGGGGATCATACAAGACCGTGAATACCAGGAGGGAAGAGAAATCTTTGGGGCCATCTGAGAGGCTGCCTCCTAGAGTCAGTTACCATGTGGTTGCCTTCCAAGCTTTCAGACTGTGGTAGTAGACAATGAATTATCATTTTCCTAAATACCCATGCCATACCTAAGTCAGGCTGGGCTAATCACAGAGATGACTTGCAGGACACGTGTGTGAGTGTGTGTGTGTGTGTGTGTGTGTGTGTGTGTGTGTGTGTGTGTATTTTAAGGCATGTGTCCCAGTGGCCATAGAGATAAATAGAAAAAATACAGAAAATAAAGATAAGGGCTTGGTTTTGTGGAGAGCATGCATTCTTAAAGCACACCTTTTTATTCTAGCAAACTAGCAATAAAAGGGTGTGTGCTTATTTTCTCCAGGTAGTTTGTTAAAATCCTGGTTCCCTGGAGAGGCTGCACTTGGCTTTAGGTTCTCAATCTAGTCTGAGTCACTAGCAGAAACCATTTTATCCAAGTTGAATTAAATCATTCCTCAGCCCTGTGTTGGATCAGCCCTGTGTTGGTCTCAGTCCTGTGTTGAATCAGATGTTCTTCAGGCACATTTGTCCTTATAGAGCCTTGGCCATTTTGCCGGTGCAAAAACAGATTGTCTTGAGTTGGACCTTTCCAGGGAGGAGCAAGTGTGAGTTGAGGAGATGGGATCCAGATGGCCCATCACCCAGGGCCACCGCTGCTCAGCAGGGCCAGGAGAGGAGGTGCTTAGATTATTGTCACAGGTTTTCTGTTCTAAGGATATGCTATTGAGTAAGGTAAGGTAACACTGGTGCAGCCACAGGAGAAGAGAACAAGACTTAAAAGGAGGAAGTTTATTATTCTCATAGGACCAGAGAAGAGTTCACCGTGTGCCATGCAGGGCCACAACCAGAAGGATGCTTGACCAGATGGGTGGGGAGTGAGAACTTGTGGGCCCTTACTGGGGGTCTGGAGTGGGAGGCAGGTTAATTGGCACCGGGAAATTTCACTGTGGGTTCGAAAGCAAAGCAGACAGAGGAGTGAGGGAAGGAGGGAGCTAGAATCCATTGGTTGGGTTTGTTTTGAAGGGATTTCAGCTGGTTTTGGGTGTGTGCTTAGAATTAGGGCAGTGAGAGAATGTGGAAGCACCAAAGCATGAAGTCAAAATGGAGGATTTTCAACACATTCTCCAAACTGTTTTTTGCCAGCTTAATAGATGCTGGAAAGGAGAAGTACTATCTGCTGAGGCTGCGCCACCCTGTGCTATCTGAGTGGTGAAGGAGCTCTACCACGCCTTGCACACTGCTGTCATGACCTCGGTGTTCTCACAGCCCAAAGACCCTGACAGTGATTGTTCGGCATAAACCTCCCCCAGGGGTACAAGGAAAGCCCCTCCCTTGGCAAGGGGCTGGAAATCTTTCCATACTTTCTCTCCTGACACCCTGTGAAATAGGGAAGAGTTCTTCTCCTTACAAAAGCCCCAGTTACCCCTGAAGCCCGCAGTGTTGGCCCTCCTGAGGGAACCACAGCCTGCTCTGAGCTCGGGACGTGGAGTGGCTGACTGGACGTGGTGTAAGCTCCTCCAAGGAGGTGGCATGGACTGTGCTCCAGGGAGCCTTAACCTTCTCCAGATTTGGGGGGATAAGCGTTTCTCACTTGTGATGCTTTTAGTCTCTTGAGGGACTTTTCCCTGTTGGGCATTTATTGCAGTTCCTGTCTCCCCAGGACTTCAGTGTCTGCGGGGGGGATGGCTGCTCTTTTAGGTCTGATCAGAATTCTAGACCGTAGGCTTAAAGAACATAGGTAACTTGGTAGCTCTGGGGAGTCCCCTCTGAGTTCAAAACATAATCACAAGAAACTGATCCGTGAGTTCTAGAAATAGGCCGTGTCTCAGGAATTCCTGCTTCCTGCCATTGCCGGGGTTCCGGTTACCAGGAGAGTACTTTTAGCATATGTATTCTGAATAGCTTTCATTTCCTGCCTTTGGCGGGACGTTAATTTTTACAGCTTTGGTTCATAGCCTCTTCCAGGCCCAAGGAACTGGATGGTCACCAGCTTTGCCCAGCTGGGGATTTGACTTGTGCTTTGGAAGAGACCATCTCAAGGATGACTAAATTTGACAACGTGCAGCTCCTACTCATTACATTGGAGAGAAGGTTTTCCTTGTAATTGTTTTCATTTGGTTTACTTCGGGTTAACTGAGGAGCTCACCAGAAAACCTTGTTTCTAACTTTTCAGATGAAGTTATAACTACATTTTTGCCTTTGCAGGTGAAAGGAAGTTGACCATGGAGGCCGATTGCTCATCTGAGCAGAGCCTTTCTGGGTGGCATTAAACTTGGTTGTGTGGATCGTTGAGGACTTTTTTGGACTACAGGGAGCTAATTTATGTTGACTAACCTCCCCTGAGACTGAGGAATGCTAATTTGCTAATTACAATGGAAGAGATTCCTCTCCTGTGAACAGAAGGTCTGTGTTGCATGACCAGTGTGTCTGCTTGCTGGTACCGGGACAGGAGTGGCTCAGTGAGAGTGTGGTCACAGGCAGGGCGGCGCTGATAACCCTCGAGGAGATTCCATCTGGGTCCCGGGAGGCTGGGTGAGGAGCTACGTCTGTCCTCAGCCAACTCACATCCAATTCAGGCTGTAAGTCTCTGGCTTCCAGGTCCCATGAGTCCCCACCCTGGGTTGTACCAAGTTGTTGCAGTTCACTTCTGGGATTCCTGTGTTCTTGGTGTCACACTGATCTTCCCATCCACATGTTTCCTATTTACACGTTTTGAAACCAGTTTTTGGATGTCACTGTGGATGTGACTATTTTCAGTGGAGCCTTGATCAGACCTACACCCTTAGCCTCTCTTAACTCTCAAAGACTTCCTGTCTGTGAAGACAGCTTATCTCAACCACTGGGCATTGGTTTTAGCAGACTCTCAGAGATGGTTTTCTTTTTTGCTATTGTCCGATTTCAGTAAATAAAATAGGAGGACTAGAAGTTGGCTTTTGTTTGAAGTTTCAGGTTGTTGTAGGTTTCAGAAATAGGAAAATTTTCATGGTGCTGTGTAGTAGAGTGTGTGTGTGGTGGTGGGGTTTCTGAATTATTTGTACTTTGTAAGCCTGATAAATTTAGGTTTCTTAATGTGTTGTATCGAAACCTCTGATAATTTTTTCCTATACTTTTCTATTCTGAAAGTGGAAAGCAAAGAAAAATTTCTGATGAATTGGGCATTCTAGACGGTAGGACTCTGACTGGGCAAGACTGTATGTGCTTCTAACTTTGTTGAAACCTCATTGGGCTTCTCTGCATCCATAAATCAGTGCCATAGGGACATGGTGCCAGCAACAAAAGGGGAAAACCATTGTTACATATGTTTATTGTAGTGTTACTGAGAGGAATTAATGATTTATAGTCTGAAGGTTAGTTCGCAGGTAATAACTTCTTGGACTTCACTGTAGATGAAACTGCTGTAGAAATATACTGTAGGATCTATTTTTCTGAGTGACCACATGTTTAATTTCTACACTGAACATTTGAATGGACTAACACAGCCTTTGACCTTGTACTGTTAGGCGTACCTTTCAGTGTCAGTAATTTCTGCTCATGCCCAAAGGTCTTCTGAAGTTGATCCTCATGGTTGATCCTCCTGTACTAAAGGCCAGGTAGTAGCACAGATTGAGTGCAGTGAAGTCACATGCCCCCCCACCTCCCCGTTCTGACACTGCAGATGTTGATGAGTGCTTGGAGAACAGATGTCACCCCTCGGCTACCTGCTACAACACCCCCGGCTCCTTCTCCTGCCGCTGCCAGCCTGGCTATCATGGGGACGGACTTCAGTGCACACCTGGTAAGGGGGAGGCCAGATTAGGCACAGAGAACTAGCTCCTTCAGCACTATTTTTCTATAGCACTTCAGCCCACTCTGATTTCTCCAGGTAGGAGGCTGTAGTTAGTGGATCTTCAGGCTCTGGATATTTCCCAGTTACCACCAGGGCTTGGTTTGTTGTTCACAGCTATTCGAATTCTGGCAGGCCTGGGTGTGGCCCATCCATTGTCCTACCTATGAGCAGTTCTGGTTAACTGCCCTAATGACCTGCTTTGCCTTGATAAGTGCGAGTTAGAAGTATTGAGACTCAGGTTACTAAGCAGGAGTGCTGTGCTCTGGTGAGCTGGGCGCAGCCTCCCCTATGACTGCTCTGGGACTTGGTCCGAGGGGCAGTCTAGTGACAGCTGTTGACCTGGGGCTCCTCAGACTTAAACTCTGGACTCGGGGACAAACCGAACTGTTTCCTCCTGAGCCTCTGGGATGTTTGGACCAAAGCCATGGCTGCTCTTCATTTTATCCAGACAGCAACAGGAGCTAGAGGCGGACGGGAGGGGCCGCTTCACAGTACAGTTAGCCTAGGCACTTACAGGGCGGACTGCGAGAATTAGGGAGGTGTTGGGTAGTTAGTGACAGAGCTAAAATAAGAATCCAGGACTCCAAATTCCCAGTAACGTGCTCATTTTCCCACATTATGCTGCCTTCCAACTCTGGAAGAAAAAGCCTCCGACAGGAGACCTTGAGGTTGGCTCATAAAAGCGGGTGGGTAGCAATGCCTTTTATTCCTCCTCCTCCTGCTTGTGTCTCCTCTAACCCCGCTCTGAAGACTCCACCTCAGGACTGAAAACCTGTGAGCGTCAGCATCGCGCCGCCCAGGCTCAGCACCTCTACCCGGGCGTCAGGATCCACATCCCCCAGTGCGACGAGCAGGGCCACTTCCTGCCACTGCAGTGCCACGGCAGCACCGGCTTCTGCTGGTGCGTGAACCCCGACGGTCATGAAGTCCCTGGTACCCGGACGCCACCCGGCTCTAACCCACCTCACTGCGGACCCCCAGGTGAGCCAATCCAGAAAGAAACCTTGTGCCTGGTTAGGCCTGGGGCTTGGGGAGCAGAATGGCACTGGCTGTGGGTAGATTATAATCCCTGCCCAGACCACGCAGACTCAGGGCTGATGACCATCCTTTATGACACCATCCTCCTTCCTTCTAGGAACTCTCGAGTGATATGCACTCAGCTACATGCACAGTCACATTACAGGGGCATAGAGACATGCACACACGATATACGTGATCCCGGCATGCATTGTGCTCCAGCCTCCTGACTCCTGTCTAATACAAAACTCGCCTGCATGATGGGGTCAGCTTGAAGGGAGAGAATGGGTTCTACCCAATATTGAGATTGAGTGTGTAGGTCAGGCTGAGGCCACTGCCCTAGACCTGTTAGGGCAGCTTAGAGATGTCAGACCCAGAGGGTCTTGCCAGACCAGCTTTTTGTCCAAAAGAAAAATTGCCTTTCCCATATAACTGTCGCTTCACTTGGCCTTCTGAGCTACAGGAAACTGCCTGAAGGCTGTTTTAATAGCATTAGGAAACATAAGTATGTCATTTGTGGGTGGATCCAGCTAGTTTGCTCTGAGCAAATAACCCCAGCTCCCTCTAGCCAGCCCAACATGTCCATGGGGAAGTCACCATTGGCCCAGCTGCCTTCAAAAGAGAAGCAGGAACTTGTTTTATTAGCCCCTGTGATCTGAGATGCTGATGATAAACATGTCTGTTTTCATCGTCACTCCCCATCCGGATGGGGCATGGTTATCAAGTGCTCACAGTTTACGCCAACCACAGGTTGCCAAGGCAGGTTTCTGCTCCTTGCAGAACTGTTCAGAGATGGGAAGAACTTCATTTTTTAAAAACAGAAGAACTTGATTGTGAAGAACGTAGAATTTGGTGTGATACCGTTTCAGCCAAAGTAATTCCTCTATCAATGCGCTTGCTATATTCAAATATCCATTCTTAGTGTTGAAAAGGTTTCCATAAGTACTAGTCTTGGCTTTTAATGTATGTGAATATGAAGAACTAGAGAATTACTACCAGCTTTGATCCTTTTAAAATATTAATTATTATGGCCAGGACATTAGTGATTCATATAGGTAAAAATGGGTAATGCTTCATCTAGCTCAGCGATTGCCAACCTTTCGGACCTCACTGACCGCCAGTGGTCCATGGACCACTGGTTGGCGACCGCTGATCTAGCTGTTTCCACAGTGACACTCCTAGTTCCTATTTTTAGGAAAAGATTTTGCAGCCTCCTCCCCCCACACTGCCCCCCCCCAAAAAAAAAGAATACAAAGAAATCCCGTTTCACTCATGCCAACTGGTTCTGACTCCAGCTGGGATTTGAAGGAATCAGATGTTGGGAGGTTCCTTGGGGGAATGGTTCAGAATTCTGTTGCATTTACGAAGACAAGCATGTGTTAAGGACAGTGATTCAAAAGGGAGCCGAGAGAATGGGAAGTTCATCGCTAAAAGAGAGGCATGTTCTTTTGGGCACTCTTCCCTGTGGCCCAGACTTCCCTCTTGGCTGCCATTTCTGACTGGTCTCATCTACATAATGGAGTCAGCTTGAAGGGGGAGAGAACAGTTTCTGCCCACAATTTCAAAATATTTAAAACCCTGCCAACCAGAAACAGAAGGAAAATAAAGCCATGGTCAGATTGAGGAGCTTCATATAGTCAGGCATGAGAGGGATGCCCACGTGTGAGGGAGCGTGGTGCCATTTCCCAGGAGCTGACTGTGCTGTGTGTCCTCATTCCAAACAAAGACATTCCTCACTGGGTGGTCCCTGAACCAAGAATGGGTCCTCTGAGTTTGGAATGTGGACCAGTGGTGGTGTTGGGAACTTCTCCAGGGATGGAGGGCAGGCGTTTGAGAAAGCAGCACATCCCTCTCTGGGTTCATTGAGACACATCTGGGTGAGGAAATCAGTTTTTCCTTCTGCAGGAGGTCTTAACAAGAGCTGTGCTTCCGTGAGTCATGAGCGATGGTGGGTCTTGTAGTTGAGCCTGTTGGGTTTGAGCCCTGATTTTATTTCCCATCTTCCTGCTTTCCTAGAAAAATTGTAGATGTTGGAGCCCAACTATAGTGTTTCCAGCTTGTTCTTTGAAGCCGTTGGAGATTTTGATCAAAGGAATGACATGAAATGACTTGTTTGTTTGTTTGTTTTTTAAATATATCTATTGATTTCAGAGAGGAAGGGAGAAGGGAGAGATAGAAACATCAATGATGAGAGAGAATCATTGATTGGCTGCCTCCTGCATGTCCCCTACTGGGGATCAAGCGTGCAACCTGGGTATGTACCCTTGACTGGAATCGAACCTGGGACCCTTCAGTCCACGGGTTGATGCTCTATCCACTGAGCCAAACCAGACAGGGCTTGAAATGATGGTTTTAAAGGGACTCTTTCTGGCTCCGGGTTGAATTTACACTAAGGGGCAAGGAGGGGAGAAGCAGGGAAAGCAGCTGTGGCACGAGGTAATGGGGCGTGGACCAGGGTGATGGGGGTGGATGTGGGAAGATGTAAAGATATTTGAATGTATTGTGAAGGTACAGCTGATATATCTTGACATATGTGAGTGAGAGAAAGGAGTCCAGGATGGTTGGACCTGAGCAATGGAGAGGTGGAGGTGCAATTACTCATAAGGGAAAGTCCAGGGGCCCAGATTTTGTTAGTCCTCCTCTGAGATTTCTGTGATACATCCAAATGGCGGTGCCAAGTAGGCACGTGGCTGTCTCTTCTGCCACTATAGGCTGTGAGTGGCAGGAGATAAAAACAGGAGCAGCACTTTCTGTTTCAGGTCCTTTGGGCAATCCTCCCACAGGTGGCTGTGCTATAGGCTGTAACAGAGCCCTCTCGGACAGAGAACTGGTGTTTGGGACAGGACACGACGGCCCTGTGGAAGCAGTCTGGGGTATTGGGGGTAGAGAAACTGCTCTGCAAGAGAAGCTAGTGGAGTGTAAGCATGGTGGTGAGCAGGGAGGGAGGGAAGAGGGGCAGGGTGCTGGAGAAACATGGTGGGAAGGTGAAGCCTACTTCAGCTTTGAGATAATACCAGGAACAGCATGGCTAGACGACTTCCAGGAACTGGAGTGTCACTACCTCTCTGTGCTCCCGTATACCAGTTACGATAAGTTATGCTTTCACCAGCGTAGTCCTCCAGTGGACAAGTACTGAGGGCCGCATAGGTGGACATTCAGGAATGCTTTCTAAGACAAGCACTAGCCAGCCAGCCTGAAGATAACCCTCTCAGATGCAAGTCCTGGAGTTTGAAGCAAGTGGGAAAGAAGCAAAGATTGCTTTAAGCGTCATGTAGGCCACTGCGCCCCACAGTGTTCTGTTAGCAGAGGCCCTGGGCCTCTCCTCTCCAGAGTGAGCTCGCCCCCTTCCCAGGCTGAGTGAGCCCTGCACCTGATCTTAACCTCCTCTTGTTCTTTCCCGACGTGGTGGGGCCTTGATGGCAGATCCTCCTGGCCTGGGAAGATGGGAGCATCCAGAGGACCCCATTCTCCTGGTTCCTGTGGAGGACTTCTTAGAGCACTTGACTGCTCTGGTCTGTGTTCAGGGACTTGGCGGAGGCCCGCTAATGCACATGAGGAGGAGGGAGGCCAGGCGGCCAGGCTGCACTCTGTCCTTGGCTTACAATCAAAGGCTTTTTTGTCCCATCTGCTCAGCGCCCACCCAGAGGCCCCAGACCATGTGTGAGCGCTGGAGGGCAAACCTGCTGGAGCACTACGGTGGCGCGCCTAGGGACGACCAGTACGTGCCGCAGTGCGACGACCTGGGCCACTTCACCCCCATGCAGTGCCACGGGAAGAGTGACTTCTGCTGGTGTGTGGACAGAGACGGCAGAGAGGTGCAGGGCACCCGCTCCCAGCCAGGCTCCACCCCTGCATGTAAGCACCCGGGGCAGCCCTCATTCACCTCAGCGGCCTCTGAGGTTTCTCAGTCGGGAGGCTGTGTATGAAGGTGGGCAAACAAGGGGTTAACAGATCCAATGAGACAAGTCACTACTGTGTGGTGTTGATTTATAATCTGATCCACCCAAGATCCCAATTTGGACTTAATGTTTGATTTTGTCATTAGCCGTTTCTGTAACTAGAACATCTGGAACTCAGCTCAGCACGCAGTTACTCCCCTTCCCCAGCCCAGGGTGAAAGGGGACGCGTGTCACCGGGGGGCCCCAAAGAGAAGCTGACACAACTCTGGCTCTGGTTTCTTTCCTTTAAAAAGAAGAAAAAAACCCAAAAAACTGCTTTGTTCTGAGGGAGATGTGTTGTTGTCTTCCTCCCTAGTAATTGGCAGTGATTTACATAATTGATCCTTGAAAAAAAAACCCTAGAAATTAGAATTTCTTTAAAGGAACATCTGGAGCACATCTGTCTAGGTTTAAGAACTTTTGATGCTTTTGGAGGCTCTGGTCTATGGGAAAGTAACTGTTCTCTCTCCCCGCCCACCCTTGTTTCCTTTTCTCTCTGCTCACTCTTTCCCACGGCAGGTATACCCACGGTTGCTCCACCCTTGGTCCGGCCCACGCCTCGGCCTGATGTGATTCCTCCGTCCGTGGGCACCTTCCTGCTCTATGCCCAAGGCCAGCAGATTGGCTACTTGCCCCTCAGTGGTACTAGGCTTCAGAAGGACACGGCCAGGACCCTGCTGTCGCTGCATGTAAAGAGGATTTCTCGTGCGGGACGGAGCTGCATGGGGGTTCAGATCTGGGGAGGGGCCTGAGATGGAGGGAGGTTGTGGAGGATTTCTGAGCTGCAGTCTATCTTCATGGGCCTGACACCAGCACCACCGGAAGTGGGGCTCCCTGTTGCTGGGTCACGTCTGACCAAGGCTGCCGTCTCGTTGGTTCATGGGGTTTCCAATGCGTGGAAAGGGCATTTCAGGGTTGTCAGGATACTGAGGCAGTATGGTGAGCCAAGGGTTAACCCCAGGCCCCAGGGTGCTTTCAATGCCCCCTACATTTCCAGAGATCTAGAAATCACGATAGCAGTAGCTGCAGGGTGTGGTTCCGGGGGTCAGATGAGAATCCCAAGTGGAAATCCATTAATGACTGCCTCAACGTTACTCCCCTCTCCCCTCCCATTTTGGTTCTTATCTTTGGCTCCTTCTAGATGAGTTGGGGAGAGAGTGATGCTGGAAAAGGAGTGGACAGCTCTCCCTCGGGATGCTTGCCGCTTCCTGAGCCAGCCACTCCCTGTTGTAAGGCACTCCATTTCGGAGGAGGGACTCTTCTCTCAAATGGAGAAGAAAAGGGAGGTCACCAAAAAGGCAGGGCCACTTGTAGTGGAAAATGGTCTGGTTCCATTTCTAAGCTTCACGCTCCAGGTACTTGCTTATATAACAGTACAGTGTCCGTGTTTACTTCTGTTGATGATGAACCCCATATCTGGTTCCGAAGTTTAGAAGCAGCCAGTGTTTAGAAAAAGATGGTTTTTTTCTTCCTTTTTGTTTTTGTGTGTTTTCTTGGCAAACACTAAGCATACTCTTTTTTTATAAAAGTTTCTCTAGAAGAGGTAGAAACTCAGAAGTTATCACAAGTAACCATCTATTTATTCTAGCCATGTCACATGGCTTCTCTGCATTTCTGAATTTGTCTCTGATGAGGACAGGGTGGTGGTGGAACTGAAACAGAAATGGAACACGGGTTATAAGCACACCTTGGGGAAATTTACTAAAACGGGGACTTTTTTCTCCAAATAACTTTGAAGTCATTACATGGGCTAAGGAATCCCATGATTCCCTGGGTTAATGGAAGCCCATGTGGATGTGTACTCTTGCCTGAGACACATGACTTTTTAATTTTCAAGTAAAATTGTATTTGACCTTCAGACCCTCCTACCCCATATAAACTGTTCCCTTTTCCACAGGAGCCATATCCTGCTTGTATAGTGGTTCTCATCCTGACTCCTTTGCCAGAGGCCGTAAGTCACGCCAGCCCCAGGTTGTTAGGCAAGCAGGAGCTGGCGTGGCCTCAGGGACAGCCAGATGGCCCCTAGATGTTGGCTTTGCACGTTCGGCTGGGCTTCTCAAAGCGGGAATCTGGGTTGGAAATCAAATGAAGCAAGTACTGTGCAGACTTTTGGAAAGGAGTATCGCTGACGCAGCATTTTATAAGACTTTGCAGTGTATTTAGCAATAAGGGAGACGAAACCTCCCTAGCCAGAAGTTGAGTGACGACCATTCCCCACCCAGTTCCTTAACCCATCAAACTGTAGACTTTCTTTTACCCAAGAGTACAACCAAAGAATTGCTTTGCAACGAGAAACAGAGTTGAGGGTGATGGCACCTGGGCTAGGGGAAAGCTCATGTCACAGGGGAGGGGAGCATAGATTTTGTTATTTGTTAGCAAATTTTAGAAAGCTTGTTCAAAAAGTGCTGATAACATTTGAAAGGAGTCACTGTTTTTTGTCCGTTAAAATATTAAGACCTTACTTTGCTGAGACTAACATCTGTCCTTCAATCACTGAATGGGCTAATTTTTTTCATGCAGTCACTTTTGCTTTTACTGCCAACAATTATAGTGAGTATTGAGAGCTTACTGCATATTCATTTCTGATTAGGACACTTCACAAGAACTTATGGTATTAATTCTTATAGCAGCCATATGAAGTGTAGGTACTGTTACCTTCATTTTGGAAATCAGGAAACCAAGACACAGAAAGCTTAAGTACCAGAATCGCACAGTTAAGTGGCCAAGCTTGGCTCTGACTTCAAGAAATCGGCCTGCAAAGCCTACATGTCTAACCACTGAGCTTGGCTACCTGTACAGTGCAGGGTTGTTCACTGCAGACATGCATGTGTGAGGCAGCTGAGTATGAACTCAGGGGAAATGCAAAAAGTCCTAATTCTTCCAATTCTGTGTTCTGGCCCACACAGGGCTCCATAATTGTGGGAATTGACTATGACTGCCGGGAGAGGATGGTGTACTGGACGGATGTCGCTGCGCGGACAATTAGCCGTGTCAGTCTGCAACCGGGAGCAGAGCCTGAGACAATCATTAATTCAGGTCAGCAGCTTCACCCAGAAGACACTTCCCATTTCATTTGATTCCTTGAAGTCCAAGTTATTTTTGCCTGTTTATCCCAAAGTCTCTCCTCTATTTTAACCCAACAGGGGTTAAAGTTCTATGCAAGTCACTTGTGCGCTGTACAACATCCTCTTTATAAACAAACATGTTTATACATAAGGAATAAGAAGGTGATTCTTGCTGTGGGCCCTTTCTATTGAGAAGTTGGGCTCCCAGAGGAAAGGCTCACAGTTAAGGATTCAGGGTGAGGCCACACTGATGCTGCCTGGGACACCAGCTCTGTGGATGCCTGGTGCATTCAGGCTGCTAGGTCTGTTCATAGACCAGTGGCTCTCAACCTTCCTAATGCCGCGACCCTTTAATACAGTTCCTCATGTGGTGACTCCCAATTTCATTGTTACAAATTAAACGTAATTAAAGCATAGTGATTAATCACAAAAACATTATGTAATTATGTATGTGTTTTCCGATGGTCTTAGGCGACCCCTGTGAAAGGGTCATTCGACCTCCAAAGGGGTCTCGACCCACAGGTTGAGAACCGCTGGTCTAGACCAGTGATTTTCAACTGGTGTGCTGCAGTTTTTAAAATATGCAATATCTGACTATTTAGTCAGGGGCACTGACCTCTCTTCCCTTAGATTGTCAAATGAAAAAATGATAACAGCCAACACAACAGCAGCCATCTGGTGTGAATTAATCAAAATACCTTTTTTTTGTCATTTCGGCAAAAATCATATTTTGGGTGTGCCACAGAATTTTAACAATTCGTTTGTGTAACCTAGTTCTTCCGACTTAAGGGACTCTCAGGACTTTGTTGTTGTTGTTCAAACATAAATCTGTTTCAGGTTCACCTGCTCCAGTCCTGCCTTTTTTTTATTTCCAGATCTGATAAGCCCTGAAGGCCTTGCCATTGACCACTTTCACAGAACGATGTACTGGACAGACAGTGGCCTGGATAGGATAGAGAGGGCCACGCTGGACGGCTCTGAGCGCAAGGCTCTCTTCCACACGGACCTGGTGAATCCCCGAGCCATCACTGTGGATCCTATCCGAGGGTCAGCTGGGCCTCCCTAATTCTCCATTACCTGTAGATCCTGATTCGAAGTCCTTGGATTTAAATGTGGTGGGGAGTCAGAACAAAAGCAGAAAGAAAAGCCCAAATGTGTTAACAGTATTTATTGAGGAGCTACTAGGTGTCAGGAACTGTTCTACTTTTTATCAGATGATAAGGTAGGGCCTGTCTGGGGTCAATACTTAAACTAGAATGAAGTGGGTCTCCTTCAGCAACACAGTAGGAAGTCAGTGTTAAAAGCACAGTAGGGTTTATGCCCATTAAATGGTAACCAAAACTCACACCTGGCATTTTATTTCTCAGACCTCTTTCACTGTAGCAAAATGAAGAAGAAAATGTTCCCTGTCCATAACTGCTAAGGTCATCACTGGGACATATAACTTGGTCAATGTTTCAGTACTTGTTAGAACCAGGGAGGATTGCTGTATCTTGAGAAGCTCTTGCCATATTTAATGGGGCTTCTACCAAATGAAATTCCAGAGAAAATCCTCAATAAGTAAAGAAAACATTGTTTTTGACTCAGAAACACTTAGTGAAAAGCCTCAAAGAAGGTTCTGAAGTTTGACTTGTACACACTCAGGGTGCTTCTTTTTCTACTCCACTTAATTTATCCACAGCAACTTGTACTGGACAGACTGGAATCGAGATGCTCCTAAAATTGAAACGTCATCTTTATATGGAGAAAACAGAAGAATTCTGGTGAATAATGACCTTGGACTACCCAATGGTTTAACCTTTGACCCCGTGTCCAAACTGCTCTGCTGGGCAGATGCAGGTAATACTACTGATGGGATGCAGATACACAATGCTTTATTACAGTGGTGCCAGCCCTTGATCAGGTTTTATAACAAAACAAAATCCCATCTTTTGGCTTAAATTTGTAACAGTACAGCACATAGAATCTATTCCTTTGGTATGTAAACTTTCAAAGGACATTTTGTAATGATGCTTACAATGAACTTCCTAGGGTTTTAGGGTGTGTGAATATGAATTCGGCAGTTAAGTTTCAGGGGTAGTACTATGTCCCTCATTTCTGTATTGTGTGCCATTTCCCCACATGAATACTTGGCATGCTTTCAAAGTTAAAAAGAAATATTACCCACTGTTAGAATTGACCGATTTAGATAAATGAACAGGAGGTATATTATAGGTGGTTTTTCCTTTGGCCCGTGTTATAAATTTCTAAGTATCTGTCTAGCTGTCAGTATGCCATTATGCTGAGGACATTCTTGAAAAGCAGTATGGCAGCTTCACTTCAGTAACAAGTTCAGATTGCCGATAGCCAGGCTAACATTCTCTGTTGTGTGATTTCATCATGAGCACTACTGAAAGGATGCAGTATGTCTATATACCACAGAACATGAAAACGGCCGTTCCTAAAGAATTTATCATCTAAAAAAGGGGACTATAATGTACATAGGTCACTATTATAAAACCAGTTGTCCAAACAACAGTTAACATTTTTTAAAGTATTTGCAATTTAAATCCAGGTCCCGTAAGAAATGTGAAACTTGGAAATTTTTAACTTGTTTAGCTATGGCAAAATTTTCACAATTGGCTTCCTTTAAATTGAAAAATAGAAGTCATGTTGCCCCTTTAGTTACTTTTTATTTCTACCTAGAAACTAGTTAAAAGGCAATCTTGGCTATTACACATTACTTACAAAGTACAAATATTTATCCAAATGTTATGTTTACACTTGAAATTAATTATAAAAAAGCTTCTCTCTAATGCCCTACTTTGGGAGAAACTTGGCTACATTTCTGTAAAAGCAATCCTTTCTTCCAAAAAAGGATTAAGAGTTTAAACTCTATTAAAAACTGCAATGTTATTAAACAATTTAAAGACTGGTAATAGAACAGAAAAATTTAGTTTTTAATTTGTATCACTGCAATGGGAATAAAATAGCTATTTCTTCTTCTACCTTTCTTTAAGATGGAATCTATCAGCCACTATTATTTTTGGCAAGGTTCCCTCTCCTCTTCCCCATGGCATGAAAGTATCTTTTTTCCTCTTCGTTTTCAAAGGAACCAAAAAACTGGAGTGTACACTGCCTGATGGAACTGGACGACATGTCATTCAAAACAACCTCAACTACCCCTTCAGCATTGTTAGCTATGCAGATCACTTCTACCACACGGACTGGAGGAGGTGAGCCTGACACATTCTGGATGAGCCTGAAAATGCAAACTGTTCTGGGGGATACATCGCTTGTTTCACCTAATGTCAGCTAGTGACTTCAGTAATTAAGCCCTCTACTGACGTTTTCATTTTATTATCTTTATTAGTAGATAGCATCTTTTAAACGTTACCCAGAAATTTAACGGTAATGCTCACATATGGCTTAAAAGTGGCAGAGCTATTAAGTAGTAACTATCCAAAAAGGAAGCGCTTTAATCTAAATATGATCTTCAGAGTTGTAACTGGCTTAAGTGGCACCATGAAGTATATTAGTTATGTGATATAAAATGACACTGTGGACTTACTAGTTGTCTACCAGTTCTCCAAGGAGGAATTGGGGAACATTAAAAAAATATATACAAGGTTGGTAAAAGTGGGTTTACAGTTGTTTGTGTGGAAAGACATGAGTTATTATTATAGTTTTAATTCAAAAGAATGTCACAGACCTACTCTGCCCACTCCTGTAGTATCTGAGCCCTTCCATCCTAAACCCTGTAATTTTGATTTAATTGATCTTGCATGGGGCCCAGGCATCAGTATTTTAACAGATCTTCGTGATTCCAACACCCAGTTAGTGGTCCTCAAACTTCAGCGTGGCTTATCCTATATAATAAAAGGCTAGTATGCATATTGACCAAACGGCAGAATGACTGATCTCTATGACGCACACTGACCACCAGGAGACAGACACTCAACGCAGGAGCTGCCCCCTGGTGGTCAGTGCACTCCCACAGGAGGAGTGCCACTCAGACAGAAGCCAGGCTCACGGCTGGCCAGCGCAGCAGACCTAAGCTGTCAGTCGGACATCCCCCGAGGGCTCCTAGACTGCGAGAGGGCGCAGGCCGGGCTGAGGGACACCCACCCCTCCCCCGAGTGCACCAATTTCGTGCACCAGGCCCTCTAATTAAAACATATTACTGGGTCCTATATCCCAGAATTTGATTAAGTCTGAAGGGGGGCCCAAGAATTCGCATTTCTACCAAGTTCCCAGAGGATGCTGGTCTGAGGACCACTTTGAGAACCACTGCTATAAACCTTCTGAATCTAAATGAGTCAAAACTCATTTTGTTATATTAATTTAAAATATATATTCTAAAAGGCTGTAGAGATTTTTCTCTTTTGAAACTTATGACTTCATGTTTCCCTTCTGTTCCCAGGGATGGTATTATATCAGTCAATAGAGACAGTGGCCAGTTTACTGATGAGTATCTCCCAGAACAGCGATCTCATCTCTACGGGATAACTGCAGTCTACCCCTACTGCCCAGCAGGTAAACAACATGCTCAGGCTGCTCCTTTGGATTAGCAGGGGAGGGGGGGACAGATCTGTTAACTGATTCTGGCTGCTGCCTCTGACACTGCCACCAGTGAGGGCCACATTGAGCTGGAAAAGTTAATGGCCAACCCACGGGGTAACCAGTTTTTACTACCTTAAGTCTACCTAGCTAAACTATACACAAAACAGGTCAGCCTATTAGGATATTTCTCCTTTAAAAAGACTTACGTTGCAACTCAGTTATAAAAAATACTCACGCACTGTCCTCTCCCACACTTTCCCTTACAGGAAGAAAATAAATATAGCATCCTAAAGGACTTGAGTTTACAATCAGATTCTGGACCCTAAAGAACATTTACTGCAAACAAAGGTGAAGAAAGTGAAAAAGGAATTGGCCATTAAAAGTTCTGGGACATACAAAATGGACATTTTCAGTGCAAAAAGACTAAGTATATTTTGTGAAAAGTTTATACCTCAATCTTTACTACTGTATTTTTAAAAACAAAAATTATTGCAAGTTTAAAAGAGGTAATAGAATTTTAATTGTTGCTTATTAAAGCAACTTTTTATAAACATTTATGTCATATTTAAAAAGGTCAAATTTGTTCAACTAAGAACCAATTAGAAATATGTCAAGACCCTATATGAGTTCTTTTTGGCCAAGAAATTAAAGCACAAATGACCAGTATAAAAATAAAACCCTAAAGATCATAAATTTGACATAGAGAAGGCTATGCAGAACTGATGGGAAAGAACCAACTTATTTATAGTTTCCCAACAAAAGTTCTAAGACTTAAAATATTTTTTACCTCTGCATTACTTCATTTCTATTTATATTAAAAGGTGCTAGAACATTTCAGTTTGTATTTCCTGTAAGTCCCTCTATAGAATAACCCACAGAAATTACTACATTTATAAATACCAAAGATGTATCAGTCCTCAAATTTTCTAGATTACTCCAATAAAATATTTTAAGTTTTCTTATGACTTTTTGAGGATGTGTATTGTTTCTATAACAAAGCTGGGTGTTGGCATGTACCTTAATTACAAAGGAAGAAACAGATTAATTATACATAAACATAACACATAGTCAAAAAAAAATCCGCTTTCCCAAACTTTATTAAAGAAAAAGCAATGATGGTAAATCTCTAAAACATAGTCAATTTTCTGGGACTCTTCCCTTGAAAATGTGATGTTTGATTTTGAAACACATACCACGGTGTGCATGGTTCCCAACTGTACTAAATAGGTGAGAGGCTGAAATCCTAACAGGTTCATCTTCCAACTTTCCCCAGTCTGTGGTCTGTCTTTGGATCAGCAATAATTGCCTGAACAGCTACTATGGCTTCATTAATTTTTGTCTGTAGCTCTCTGAGCTCTTCTATATGCAGCAATCGCAGAATTTGAGCAGCTTCATTAAGAACTGCATCTATTTATAAGAAACATGGCAAAATTAATAACTTTTATATTTCAGACCACTCATTTCCCCCAAAATGTTCACCAAGTTTCTAAAATATTTTGAATTAATCATCAAAACAAAATCACTTACCTCCTGTGTCAAAACCAAGAATATGCTTGTCTAAAGCAACAGGCAACCCCTTTAAAAAAAAAATGGACAAAATGAGGCGATAGTTAAGTATCACCTCTTTTCTTATCTAAAACTAAAGAGCAGCTAGCTATTATTTTAACCCTTTTAGTCACAGTAGCAAGGGGAATGAGAGTTCTCTTAAATTTGCATTTTGATGTTTGTTTTTCCCTACTATAACTGGTGAGGAAAGAATGGCCTTTAAATAAAGTGGGAGGTTAATTCCATAACCCATCCAATCCTTTAAGACCAGGCATATAAAATAGCTCCTTTTTGCTGTAGTGCCCCTGTCACTACTGCAGGGCTGCTATTATTCTGTTTTACCTACAGTAAGCAGCAGTGTACAGGGCAAATGAAATAGGACTACTTTTAATATTACTTTCCCGAGCACATTAATTTGTCTGCAAATTGCACAAACCTAAAACATAGTTTTTCAGCCAGAAATTTTAACAGATTATCTATATGTAATATATATAATTTAACTTTCAACAGTTCATTTTGAAGTTACTTTGAATAGAATCTAAACCATAGTGATACTTCAATGCTATCAATGCTAAGTTGTCACTACTCAATTCTTGCCTAATCTATTAATGAAAATCTACCTAGGTTCGATCTGCTTCAAAATAGCTAATAAACACACTAGAAACAAACTGGTATGGAAACTCAGTGAGCAAAACTAAAGAGTAGAATTGTACTGTGCTAGGCTGTACCAGAGGCTCTCTTTCCCCTTTGTCTGCCCCAAAACCAAAAAATACCTCTGTGGCTGAAGATGACCACATGCTAGTCATGAACAGTTACAAACAAGAACACAACTGTAAAACTTCTCCACTGTATTATTATTTATAGCATGGAATCTTTTGAGATGACATTAAAACTAAGATTTATTTGGAGCACTGAGAATAAAACTAAATTTTACTTTGTAAAGAGCAGCAGTGATTTGGCTCTGTCCTTATTTGCACTGCCTTCCAAACCATAGCTTTACTGAATGAATTTACTCTCTGTTTATAGTGTGGGAGAAATAGGCTGACCTTTAACCCAATTTCCAGTGGCTGGATTCACACATAATTAATAAGCCAGTAAGAACCTTTAAAAGAAACTGTCTTTTAGAGGGAGTACACTTACCTGGCATCAATAACCTTTTAATAGAGGACAAATGACATTGGGGAACTGAGGGAGGCAAAAAAAAAAAAAAAAAGGACCAGGGTTCAGGATGGTGGTTGTACCAAAGGCTGTCGCTGCAACATCTGTACAGCAGGAAGGGGGTATTATCAGGCAGCTGCTGCTAACCCGTGAGGACATTCTCTGTATTGCCCCGTAGTCAATGAGACTTTTGGGACATTTAGATTTATGGTACAATTTATCTCAAAACTTCTCAGAATTATTAGATAGTTATGCTGTAGTTTTCTCATTCTACTAAGATGAGTTTTAGTCACCTGAACCCTGAACCTCACACTCTAGTAGCCTCTCTATCCCCAATTTACCTAGATCAACTAGCTCATGTAAACCACCACACACGAATCCTTGTCTCAACCACGTATCCACTAGGTGACCTTATGCAAGTTACTTAGGTTTTATGCTAGCAAATAGAAAAGGTAAAATGAGATTTCTCTGAAGAAACAAAAGAACAAACGTAGGATTTAGGTCAAAAAGAAAAATATTAAGAGAGGTTGTGTCCTGTTCCCCAGCAATTAGTCAAAATAACCCAGTATATTTCACAAGTGCACATTCCTTTAAATAAACTTCAACCAGGTAGATGCAGTGGTTTACACTGGTAGACTGGATGTGCCATTGGCAGCTTCTCTAAGGTGTGAAGGGAGATAAACATGAGTTCATTTTTCACTCAAAATAGTTAGATACAATTTGCTTAGAAACCACATTCAATCCCCTTGAAGTAAGCTATCCTTTCTCTGGGCAGTTCTAACACAGAATGGGTATCTTAAGCAGTAACATGCAGAGTTTAAACCCACGACAACACCAGAAGAAAATTTCATTAATAATTACTTTAGATTTTACTTAAAAAAATACATACCTCTTTTGCTTGATTTGCTTTAGCAACTGCATCCTGTGTCAGGCGTTCCTGGACCAAAATGCGAATTGCCTAAGAAACCCAAAAATACTGTTTTTAGTTTTCACTGGCTGTTTGTCATCTTTTCTTCCCTGAGTCTAGATAAGAAGGATGCCCAGTTTGATCAAGTTAGAATTACCTAGTTCATTAACAAACTCCCCATTAAAAAAACAAACATATTGTAATAAAAGTTCTCACATTTAATATTTAAAATGTGAAATGATACCCAAAACAATTTAAAACATTTTTTGAATAGGTAACTCATGTGTGCAGTAAGTAAGTAAGTAAGTAAATAAATAAATAAATAACGACACATGGTAAAAAGTAGGTCTCCTTCCTTGTCCAAGCCTTAGCCATCCCTCCAGAAGACAATCATTGTTACCAGATCCTTGGATTCTTATTAAAAGTACAAGCATACTCAGGCAAACATGTGCACACACATGCAATCTCTGACACGAAGGGTAGCACATCACATACACTGTCCTTGCTTTTTTCTCTTAATTATAGTAAAATGTTTTCAGGTCTTTCATAGAACATGTTTTTTTCATCACCAAGGAATTTTATTCCAGCAGTCTCAAGTGCATACATGCATTTGCATAAACTAAAAAAATAAGATTTTAAATGGAATTTTAACTAATGGATGACAATTACAATTCAAAAGTAAGTGAAAACTGGAAATTTTTTTAAATAATAAAAACAAATTAAATGCTACATTTGAGAAGAATTACTTAAACCAATCTTTAACAGTGATTGCAAATGTAAACAGTGTGGTGGTCAAACAGTCAATATATTGATTCTCACAGCTGGCAAATCTATGAAGATGTTTTCCATGTTGTTATGCATTGTTTGAATGATTCTTAAAATAACTCAAAGGACAATCATGCAACTAGGATTAGAATTTTATTAAACTTATGATTATAGCTAACTTTTACTTTTTCCCATTGGGTGTTTAAAGTATAACAAAGAGAACCTCCAAAATGCTAAATTGTCTTTCTCCTCCCAGTTTATGATTAAAGCTGATGTGAATACTGTAGAACTGTTCCAAATAATTTACATAATTGCCTAGGTAAGGAACAAGCCTTTGAAAGGGCTAAATTTCACTAAATACAACTTTTTGTCTCGACATCCAATCTGAGTTGAGAAAATCCAAGTTGACATTCAGAGTCAGCATACAGAATAATCATCTAGGAACAGAATAGTCTTTCCCTTGTTACAACTGCCATTTATTACATACAATTCTAAATAGAATAAATTAATCTAATAGTAAAATAAAAAAATAGAGTAAGGCTTAATCCTTCTTATAGGTAGAGTGAAATTTATTTAATTCACAGCAAAGCAATTTAAAAGTAATTTACATGTGCAAGGTGTAGATTTTTATGAGAAACTAAAACTTTAATCAAACTAAAATAATGTCCAAGTCTGGTATTGTAAGTACCACTCCCCTCTCCATGAGATCCCCACTATACTGTCACAATTACTTGGCATAAAAGTTCTGAAATATGAGTATATTTTTCCTGTCAGAAATAAGAGACCTTTTTCAGACTACTGGAATCCCTGAAGTGGAGGTATGAACTGAGGGCCTATCTAGGAAGGGTGACTTGGAAGACAGAAACATTCTTTCCTTCCTCAAAGACATTTTGGAATATGTACTTTTGGCCAAATTCACCATTACTAATTTGGCATATTCCACTATCTTAATGAATAGGGCGATTTAGGAAATATAGAAACGACAAGGTCAGAATGCCTACATTAAAATCCTGGCTCTATCATTTTTTGTGTCATCTTGGACATTTATTCTCTTTAAGTCTACTTCTTCATATACATATTAAAAAGAAAGACATTAGCATCTACCTCTAGGATGTTGGGGAGGATTGGATGAAATCATCTTTGCAAAAGGATGTAAACAAAATGGCAGGCACACAGTAAACACTCTTTGATATTAGCTGTTATTAGATCATCTAAAACAGATGAAATCTGCATTATGTTCCACATTCCTCCACATTTTAGTCATCAACCATAAATTTAAATATAAAAAAGTTGATTTTTAAAAAATTGAGTTTAAATATCTATACTAATAAAAGGGTAATATGCTAATTAGAGCATACGTCTTCCAGATGTCCATCTGGACGTCCATCTGGACAAAGCCACAGCAGATGCGAGGCCTGGGGCTCAGGCCTCGCAGCTGTGGCAGTGGCAGCAGCAGCCGAGTGATGGGGGCGTCGCCTTCCCCTGATCAACCCGGTCACCTCCCGCAGAGGGAGGCCAGACTGTGGCTTAGGCCCACTCCCCACCACAGGCAGCGGGCCTAAGCCGTCAGTAGGACATACCCTGAGGGCT